GGAGAAAGGAGATAAAAGAGGGAAGGAGGGAGGGTTGAAGAAAGAAAGGAAAAGAAAAGAAAGGAAAGAATGAGGGAGGCAAGGAGGGAGGGAAGAAGGAAGAAGAAGAAGAGGGAGGATGGAAGGACAGAAGGAAGCAAGGAAGGAAGAGGATAAAAGAAGAGAGAAGGAGGGAGGGGTGAAGAAGGAAAGGAAAAAAGAAAGGGAGGGAAGCAAGGAGGGATGAAGGAAGGAAGGAGAAAGGAGATAAAAGTGGGAAGAAGGGAGGGTTGAAGAAGGAGAGGAAAAGCGAGGAAAGAGGGAGGGAAGCAAGGGGGGAGGGAGGAAGAAGAAGAGGGAGGGAGAAAGGAAGGAAGGAGGAAGGAAGGGGGAAAGGAGATAAAAGAGGTTGGGTGGGTTGAAGAAGGAAAGGAAAAGAAAGGAAAGAGGAAGGAAGGAAGGAAGGAAGGAAAGAAGGAAGGAAGGAAGGAAGGAAGGAAGGAAGGAAAACTGAACTGGTGAGGTCAAAGGAAAGGAATGTAAACAAAAGAACAATCATTCATATTCACCTCTTGGCTTTCTTGTCACTAAGTAGGTACAAAAAAAACCTACATTCCACTCTGCAGAATTTCATCAAAATGAGGTTTTTTTACCCCCCCAAAGCAATCTCTTTTCCATCAAAGAAAAAGGGGTTTGTTTGTTTGTTTTCTTTGTTTGTTGAAAGGGAAAGATGCCAAAGAAACACTAGACGCCCGACACCCTTTCCTCTTCTGAACCAAGCGAGCCTTTTTCAGGAGATGTGTCCCGACAGAATTGCTGGTTGGGTACCCAAAAGATGTCAATGATGGGCAACGAATTCAAAACAGGGGAAAGGAAAAAGGAAAGGAAAGGAAAGAAGAGAAAAGAGGAGAAAAAGAAAAGGAAAGAAAAGGGAAAAGGAAAGAATTGAGAAAAGAAAAGAGAAAAGGAAAAGGAAAGAGAAAAGGAAAAAGGAAAGGAAAGAAGAAAAAAGGAGAAAAGGAAAAGAAAAGGGAAAAGGGAAAAGGAAAAAAAAGAGAAAAGAGAAAAGGAAAGAGAAAAGGAAAAGAAAATGGGAAAGGAAAGAGAAAAGGAAAGTGAAAAGGAAAAAGGAAAGGAAAGAAGAGAAAAGGAAAAGAAAAGGGAAAAGGAAAAGAAAAGAGAAAAGAGAAAAGGAAAGAGAAAAGGAAAGAGAAAAGGAAAAGAAAAGGGAAAAGAGGAAGAAAAGAAAACAAAAAAGGAAAGAGAAAAGGGAAAAGGAAAAGAAAAAGGAAAAAGGGAAAAGGGAAAAAAAGGGAAAAGGGAAAGAAACTGCAGCTCCGATTACCTGCCTGTGACTTCAATATTGGAGATGGCGTAGAAGTACTTGTACAAGTTCTCCCTTTGGACGTAGGTGCCTCCAAGCGCCGGTTTCAAAAGCCGCATCCTCAAATCCGTCACGGTGAAGAAGTCCTTCAGGCCCTTGGCGCTCTCCAGCCGGGTGTAGAGATTGTCCATGTTTCGAAGTTCAGGCCCAGCAAAAATGGCAAATCGGTCCTTCACCTCGAATCTCACGTCCTTCTCTTTCTTGGACCCCACCCAACGAGAATACTCCTCCGTGCAGATCACCCGGTTGACGTTGGTGGCGGACAGCTCCCTCACTTTCCGCGCCGGCATGCCGAAAGCTTCGTTACATTCATCCGCGTAGTACTGGTAAGGGTGCCAAGTCCTCCCGTTGTCCAAGGACTTCTCCAAGATCATTTTGGTGGGACGGCCGTACTCAAAAGTCAACACGACGTCGTCGGTCAGCTCAATGGTCTTGTTCCAAGACAAGGTGATGTTGGCCAACAAAGGCTTGGGATAACGGCTCCAGGTCACGCTCTGCCAGTAGGTGGCCAGGCCTTCGTCTTCTTTATCGAACATCAGCTTGGGAGGATGGGCCAGGTCCGGATTGGAAGCATCGCACTCGTCACTGCACAAGTACGGGTTTTCCTGGAAGAAGAAGGAGAAGAAGAAGAAAGAGAATGAGAGGAGAAGACAGGGAGATTAGAGTGAAGAACAACAGGGGTTGGAAGAGACCTTGGAGATCTTCTAGTCCAACGTCCAGTGCAACTGCACAAGCACAACCCAGAAGTTACAGAATGCAGGATCAGAGGGAAGGAAAATGAGAAGAGAAGAAAGGGAAGATCAGAAGAGCTTAGAACATAGGACAATAGGGGTTGGGAAGGACCTTGGAGGTCTTCTAGTCCAACTTCTAGGACAACCAGAAAAGTTCTGGCTAGCAGTTATAGAATACGGGAGAGAAGAGTTGGAAGGGACCTTGGTGGCCTTCTAGTCCAACTTCTAGGACAGCCACACAAGGGCTGGCTAGAAGTTACAGAATGCGGGAGAGAAGAGTTGGAAGGGACCTTGGTGGCCTTCTAGTCCAACTTCTAGGACAGCCACACAAGGGCTGGCTAGAAGTTACAGAATGCGGGAGAGAAGAGTTGGAAGGGACCTTGGCTGTCTTCTAGTCCAACATCTAGGACAGCCACACAAGTTCTGGCTAGAAGTTACAGAATACAGAGGAGAAGAGTTGGAAGGGACCTTGGCTGTCTTCTAGTCCAACATCTAGGA